CACCGTTGAGCGAACATTCTTGCAAATGAAGGCAAGCAACTCCCAGGCAGGTGAATAGCCCATGCAACTAGCCTAGGGTTCTATCCAAACAAGCCCCTGGTCTCTACTAGAGGCTTGTTTGGTGCCCGCCTATGCACGCCCCACCGGAGATGTGGCCGTGCCAAAAATGCGGAGGATGATTTGTCCGCTAGATATTTGGCAAACTACAGCGCGAAAGTGAATTGTGCGCGCATGACTAAGGTTGGCGGTGCCGCAACTCGAGGAATGAACCAAACACGTGACTAGCTTCTGGCATGATGTCTACGGCGAGGTCTGGCTGTGAACCAAAGAGCCTAGGTCTATCGGGTTCCTTACCTTATTTTTAGAATTGAACAAAGAAAGTGGGAAAGATGTTTTCTTCCTCCACTTATCATGAACTGCGAGCCATAGGGGAGGAGGGAGATGACTTTCAAAAAATTACCATATACTTCCTCTATAGCTTGACATAAGTAACAAGAGTAATAACTTAAAAGAAAAGTGGGTTTCAAAAAATACTTAAAAGAAAAGTGGATAGGAATCAACAAATTTACCTAATGAATATTTACATCAAATTATTAGGACTCCTCATACTCTTCGCGAAGACGACCTGGAAGGTCTCTGGTTAGTGGATCCTCCATTTCCTTAATGGCTGCCTGTTTTGTTGGGAAACAATGATTCCGATTACAAGTAATGGTGTACATTTTAAAAACATCTTGGGGATGTATCTCAGATGGTAGAGCGCTCGCTTAGCATGCGAGAGGTACGGGGATCGATACCCCGCATCTCCATTTCGTGCTATTTATTTTTATTTTTATGAACGTGTCAGGTTGGCACATTTTTCCATTTCGTGTCATTTTTTTTATGAACGTGTCAGGTTGGCAGTGTTATTTATTTTTTTATGAACGTGTCAGGTTCGCACATTTTTCCATTTCGTGTCATTTTTTTATGAACGTGTCAGGTTGGCACATTTTTTTATGAACGTGTCAGGTTGGCCTGCCAGATGCTGTGACCTTTTTCTTTTTGCTTTCTCCAAGAAAATTCAAAACGTACAGCGGCTCTCAATTTTTCGTGATTTATTTGCCACCTCTCCTGTATATATGGCTAGTTCCGTCCTTTGTCGTCAACTGAAGCTTTTTCTTTTGCTTTTCATAGTTATTGATGATTTACAGCGGCTCTCAATTTTTCGTGATTTATTTGCCACCTCTCCTGTATATATGGCTAGTTCCGTCCTTTGTCGTCAACTGAAGCTATGACAAAATTCATAGTTACTGATGATTCATTGATTCTTGTGGGGGCCATCCATGGTGGAACTGGATGTATAACTGGATGTATGAACACCATAGGTAAATAAAATGTACTGTTAACTTCAAATCTACTCATATGCTATTACTACGTCAAAACTAAGAATCACTTACGGAGGTACATGAGCTGATAGTTATAGGGTTATCATTGATGGTTTTAAAAGAAAATGGACATCACCGTTGAATTTTTTGAATCAACCGAGAACGAAAATAGATTATCATTGCCGATCTATATTAAAAACCCGACAATGATAGTAAGACCTGTTCGCTTGAGCTACTTTTTAGTTGTGGAATAGTATTTTTCTCTCACAATATTTTATTATAAGCACTAACATAAACTAAATTTTAGCATAAACGAAAGGGTGGCCCTATCGGTTTTTTAATTCAACCGACGGTTGGGGCTCGGAGCCGAAAATATCATCAGATCTAGTTAAGTCTGGTCTCCTCTGTTCTATAAAATCTTTTAAAGTTCCATTCCCTCGATTCTGTCGGCTCTCTTTCTCTCATTTCCCTCTCTCCCTATGACTGTGAGTCTCTCCCAAGTCCCATACTTGGCCATCTGTATCTCCCAGTTGACAACTCGTCGTAGGGGCTGCTACACATCATCGCTGCCACTATATGAAATAATGGGTCAACTCGTCGTAGGGGCTGCTACACATCATCGCTGCCACTATATGAAATAATGGGTCAACTCGTCGTAGGGGCTGCTACACATCATCGCTGCCACTATATGAAATAATGTATGGTAACCTCTACTCTTCTGACTAATTGCCAGTTCTCAACCTTTACTCATGGCCTATTTGTATGAGCTGTAGATTTTGTCCACTGGCCTTTCTGGCTTTATGACCTTTTGATATTAACGTTTGAAATGTTTTTTAGCGTCTTAGCACCCCCAAAGCCCAAAAAAGCTCCAATCAGTGTAGGTTTTAGCTGCTTTTAGTTTATTTCCTTAGAAGTCATTTTTCTGGCTTTTCAAAGACCAGCTCAACAGCTAGACTGTTTGTTTTAGCTTCTAACTTTTGCTGACAGCAGTGCCGGCCATAGGGATAGGGCACGAGGTGCGACGGCCGAGGACCCAAGCAGAGGAGGGGTCCAAGCCTAGGTATACAAACCCTCAGATTCTATAGTCCATTAGGTATTAGCAAACTAATGAAAAAACAAGATAACATAACATTGTGACATCGAAATGCGCATGGTGGCATTTCTTTCCTAGTTTCTTTCCCCCCACTCATATAAACAAGTTGCAACTTCTTTTCGGATAGACAGGAGGCGAGGAGTCACGCTTCCCCGGGGTGCGCTTAATAGATTAACAGGATACTCATACCAACAAGTTGCAACAAGTCTTAAGAACTCCTGTTAAACGCACACAACTCGATCGTGAGAGTTTCAGGAGGCGCGGTGGAGGATGCGTATCGCCGATGTAGCGGGCCCAATTCTTCAGAGGGTGGGACATTAGCAAACTAATGAAAAGAGAGACAAGATAACATCGGCATTTCTTTCCTAGTTTTTTTTCCACGGCCTTGGATAGACAGAGGCGAGGAGTCACGCAAGACAAAGACACTCGATCGTGAGTTCAATGAGGGCTGAGCGGCGACTAGCTGCCGGCCAAGAGCTAGACTACTGGGAGACACAAACACGGCGCAAGACGAGGCGGCGACTAGGCAGGTGGCTCCACGACTTGATTTATATCTTGATTCTTGGCTTCTTATGAATTACGATCACTCATCAGTTGTTTAGGCCCAAGGTATTTTTTTTTTTTTTATTTTTAATCCAAATTAATTATTTATATAATATTCTAAACTTCTAGTACTTTGTACACATATGGTCATATTTTTCTTCTAATTTAGGTGTTATAATTTTAGAATGTTACCTAAGAAACATTTGTTATGGGTGAGAAAAGAAAATGAATATATTGTTTTTTAATCTACATTGTTTCTCGATAATTATCATACATCTATAAATATATTGTTTAGTCTATATTATTCCTCGATAATTATCGGACATGTTAAATTAAAAATATGTTATTGAATTTGCTTTCATTTTGCAAGTGAAATTAGCGCCTATATATTGTAAGATTTTATACATAGTCAAGAAGGGTCGTTGTGACGAGATCGTTTGAGTGGCTTAAAATCTTAGGACCGGCGCTGGCTGACAGAAGCTAACAAAATGGATGATAACATACCCTGAATAGCTACGTGCAATTGGAGACGAGACTTTCCTCTGAGTGCCGATTTATCCTGATGACCTTGACTCCAGCCTACTCCAGGGCAAAGGAAAAAGAAGCAAGGAATGATGATCCCCCCTGCTCTTGGCAAATGAGGTCATCAACCTTTTCCCTTGATGGTCGATATATAAACATCTAAGAGTAAGAAGTACTATAGTTGATTCCCGGGCACAGAGACATAACAAATCCGATACAAAAGCAGTTAATCTGAAGAAGAAGAAAAATGATTCCCGGGCTCTGAGTAAGAGTACAGATCTGATACATAACAATTTTTAGCCTTGAACGGATATTATGCCGCCTGGGTATAGAGACCAGGTAACTTGCAATAGAAGTGTTCAGATAAAATCATGTCTGCGGTACACAGACTCTGTCGATTTCTAATACGTACTCCCACTTGCTAATTCCAGATTAAGCTTTGTTTTATGCCTTTAACTTCAGCGCACACACAACCACAAGCTGCCATTAGCGGAAAGCATAATCCACCACTGTGTGCCGTGCAGCTTGACGGACGGCAGGACACACGCCAAGAATCGCATTCCCTTCCCTGGGCCTCCCTTCCTTTCACTCTCATTCTTTCCTTTTACAAGCCACACGCCACTTCCTCCACACACACACAACCTCGTGCTCTCTCGTCTTCTCTCGCTTCAGAACGCATGGCAGGAATCGTATAGATTTAGTAATCAGTTGGTTTTCACTTAAAAGTTTCGCGTTCCAAGAGAGACCTAACTAGTTCTGCCTCCCTCTCGCAAAGGGTGGTGATGTTTTCCTGGCTCTAGCTTAACTGGTTAGAAAATCTTTGGTAAAATAACTTCCTCTCGTCCTCGAAAAGGATGAAATGTCTAAAATACTCTCTCTCTCTCTCTCTTTTTTTTCTTTTCTCCCATCATTTTTTATCTCTCTATTTCTCTCCACTTCATTTTGTCTCTCCATCTTATCCTGATTCCCGTCTTTCTCAGGAACCACATATGCATCCTCTCTTCCTCACGCACCCACAAATATCTCTCTCGCCTCAAAGCCTCTGCCTGGGGCATCCGCACACACGGAGGAAGGGAATTTTCGCCCGGGACCGCAAGGGCGAAGGATGAAGAAATGTGAAGCCAATTAGTATCATTAGATACGCTATAAATAACATTTTCATAATGTGCTCAATTTGGTGCCACAAATATCTATACTTTTTTTTTCTATACATCATCGAACTTCAAAAAGTTTAAATTAGCACATCGTGTAACTCAGGACAAAATCAGAATGACGCTCTCATGCGCGAGGAGCACCTACTAGCTCTGTCACACAAAAGCAGGCATGCGGCCATGAGCCCCGATGAAATGCAGGCCGGCAGAGCATTCCACACTCCTGAATCCTGATCCACACTCCAAAGCCCGCGCTGCGTGCATCACAGAGCGTCGGAGCCCTTCGGTCTTCATCCTCCTCCTCCACGCGCGCAGCACGGGGATCAATCGATGTCGTACGGCAGCTCCGGCTCGCCGGCGTGGCTGTGGCTGCACGGCGACCTCGAGCTCACCATCCACGAGGCGCGCGGCCTCCCCAACATGGACCTGCTCTCCACCATCCTCCGCCGCCTCTGCCTCTGCCCACCACTGGCGGGGATGACGCCGACGCGCCGCCGTTCGCTGTCCGACGACGACGACAGCGCTCACCGCGCCCACCCCCACCCGCACCCGCACCACCACAACCACCATCTCCGCGGCCGGCTACACCGCCACCACGAGCCACAGCCGCACGGGCACCTCCTGCTCCCGACCTCCGACCCGTACGCGGCGGTGGTAGTGGCGGGGCCGCACGAGACGACGGTGGCGCGCACCTACGTGTTCCGCAACTCGGAGGCGCCGAGGTGGGAGGCCAGCTTCCTGCTCCCGCTCGCGCACGCCGCCACCGGCCTCGAGTTCCACGTCAAGGACGCCGACCCCTTCGGCTCCGACCTCATCGGCGTCGCCTCGCTGACCGCCGCCTCCGTCCTCGCCGCCACCGCCGACGCGCCCATCGACAAACAGTGGCTCGAGCTCTCCCGCCCCGACGGCCGCGGCCCGCCCAAGCCCGGTGGTGGGAGCGCCATCCGCATCTCCGCCGCCTTCGTCCCCGCGGCTGCTGCTGCGGCGTCCCGGCAGCGCTCCGGCGGCGTGCCGGCGTACTTCCCGCTGCGGCGCGGCTGCGACGTGCGGCTGTACCAGGACGCGCACGTGGGGCCCGGCGAGGTGGACGGCGTCGGCGTCGGCCCCGGGTTCCGGCCCGGGCGGTGCTGGGAGGACCTGTGCATGGCGGTGCTGTGCGCGCAGCGCCTCGTCTACGTGGCCGGGTGGTCGGTGCACACCAGGGTCCGGCTACTGCGGGAGGCCATGTCGCCGGAGATGGCGGCCAAGGTGGCCGAGCTGGAGGAGCTCGGCGGCGAGCCCGTGGAGAACATGAGCCTCGGCGAGCTGCTCAAGTACAAGTCCCAGGAGGGCGTCCGGGTGCTGCTCCTCGTCTGGGACGACAGGACCTCACACGACACCTTCTTCGTAAAGACGGTTCGTTTGTGTTCAAATCAAATTCAAATTCAAATTCAGATTTTGAAACCGTGAGGAGATTAGTAGCTAGCTGTGTATATATTTTTCATGTGGATTTCAAATTGTTGGTGTAGGGAGGCGTGATGAAGACGCGCGACGAGGAGACGAAGAAGTTCTTCAAGCACTCGTCCGTCATCTGCGTGCTGTCGCCGCGCTACCCAAGCAGCAAGCTTGGCCTCGTCAAACAAAAGGCAAGCGGGATTGTATTTTTTGTACAAAAATACTTGCAAACTCATAAATTTGAAATATTTTGACTACATAAATACTTTTGAAATGCTTTGATTGATCGGAAGGAGAAATTTTGCAATTATTATGGGTCGAATGAAAAACTGAGTGCGACGTGTGCAGCTGCGGCCGTGCAGGTGGTGGGGACGCTGTACACGCACCACCAGAAGTGCGTGCTCGTCGACACGCCGGCGTCCGAGTCCACCCGCCGGATCACGGCCTTCCTCGGCGGCCTCGACCTCTGCGCCGGCCGCTACGACACGCCCAGCCACCGGCTCTTCCGCGACCTCGACACCGTCTTCCACGGCGACGTCTACAACCCCTTGTTTGGTGTACGTCGTGAGCAATTAAAAACCTCCAGCAGATTGATGATGTCTCTATCTATGACGATCGATCATGCAATCGTCTTATTCGTAGGGGGACATCAAGGGCCCGCGCCAGCCATGGCACGACCTGCACTGCCGGCTGGACGGGCCGGCGGCGTACGACGTCCTCAAGAACTTTGAGCAGCGGTGGCGGAAGGCGACCAAGCTCCGGGAGATGTTCGGCGGCAAGGCGGCGCACCGGAAGGACGACGCGCTGCTGAAGCTGGAGCGCATCCCCTGGATCCTCAGCCCCTCCAAGCCCAAGCAGCGGTGCTCTGCCGCGGCCGGCGGCGCCGCAGACGACAACGCCGACGACGACGAGCGGGACCAACCAGCCCTGCATGTGGTGCAGGACAGCGACCCGGAGCGGTGGCACGCGCAGGTGTTCCGTTCCGTGGACGCCGGGTCAGTGAAGCGGTTCCCGCGTCCCTGGGAGCGTGCCGAGATGGCGCGGCTCCACCTGGTCGGCGACAAAAACCTGGCGGTGGAGCGGAGCATCCACGCGGCGTACGTGGCGGCGATCCGGTCGGCGGAGCGGTTCGTGTACGTGGAGAACCAGTACTTCATCGGCGGCTCCTACGCGTGGCCGTCGTACCGGAACAGCGGCGCCTGCAACCTGGTGCCCATGGAGATCGCGCTCAAGGTCGCCAGCAAGGTCCGCGCCCGCGAGCCGTTCGCCGCGTACGTGGTGATGCCCATGTGGCCCGAGGGCAACCCCGGGTCCGGCCCCGCGCAGGAGATCCTATTCTGGCAGAACCAGACCATGGAGATGATGTACAGGGTCGTCGCCGCGGAGTTGGACGGAAAAGGTGGCCACCCGCAGGATTACCTCAACTTCTACTGCCTCGGCAACCGGGAGCCGGCGGAGGACGACGCGGTGGCCGGCGGCGGCGACGGCGGCCACCGCAATAAATGGGCTCCGGCGGATCCGCCCGACGACAGCACGAGCCCCGCGGCGCGTGCGCGGCGGCACCGGCGGTTCATGGTGTACGTGCACTCCAAGGGGATGATCGTGGACGACGAGTACGTCATCATCGGCTCCGCCAACATCAACCAGCGCTCGCTGGCGGGGTCGCGCGACACGGAGATCGCCGTCGGCGCGTACCAGCCGGACCACACGGGCGCCGACGCCCCGCGCGGGAAGGTGCACGCGTACAGGATGTCGCTGTGGGAGGAGCACCTGGGGAAGGAGGCGGTCCGGCGGCCGGAGGTGCAGCGGCCGGAGTCACCCCGGTGCGTCCGTCTGGTGAACCGGATCGCAAGGGACAACTGGGGGAGGTACGCGGCGGACGGCGACAAGGGGCCGCTGCAGGGGCACCTGATGAGGTACCCCGTGCACGTCGAAGCCGACGGTAGGGTGGAGCCGCTGCCGGGGCACGAGTTGTTCCCGGACGTCGGCGGGCGGGTCGTCGGCGCGCCCAACAATCTGCCGGACTACCTGACAATGTAGCAGCCGGCGATGTACAGATTACATTACAGAGTGTGTGTCCAGGAGCAGAGCAGGAGATGAGCAGCCAATAGGCATGCATTGATGCATATATTTTGATGCCACTGCATAGGATTTTATTGAAGAGTGACCTAACGGTAACCACTTGCCCTCTTTGGAACGCGATTATTTTTCAAATTCATGTGTTCTTTTCCCTAAAAAATAAACTAATTTCTAAGAAAATTATATACGATTTATACAAAATTCATGCGAGCTATTATTGTTACTCCAGGGGAAATTTTTTTTTCTTACTTCTATTTACCAATGTAGCTATTCATTTAATGGTCTTGTTTTTATGTTTGAAATTATACGATGTTTTGGCTTTTCTAGATACACTGATTTTACTATGTTGATCGAGATATAGTGTATGTCTAAGTGTGTAACAAAAAACTATGTATCTAAGAAACCAAAACATTCTATAATTTGGAATGGAGAGCGTAGTTTTTTTATTATAAGATTGTCCCTGGTGACATTTAAATTTGACCCAGGCTGGTTTCAGATTTGATCAATGCTAGTTTTGGCCCAATTCAAAAAAAACTCTACAAAATAACGTAGAATTGTACTACATTGTTTTTTAACATAATAAGACAACACCTACTCCTGTATCAGAGTGTTCGGCTGCTTATTGGCGGCCGCAGCCCGCTGCTGCTTCTTTGACATATGAGACAAATTACTGTTGAAACAATAAAATAAGCAGCAGCCACCGCTGGCAACAATGCCAGCTGAACACTCTGATAATCGACAAAAAAAACAATCTATTGTCGCCCTCTATCTTAAATTATAGGTTGTTTTGGACTTTTCTAGATACATGATTCAGCTATGCATTTAGATATATAGCATGTCTAGATATATAGCAAAATCTATATATCTATAAATATCGAAATGACCTATAAATTAGAATGGAGAGAGTACCTCTCTTTTGCCCTTCTAACCTCCATGTTCTTCATCGCCGCTCTAGGCTTGCTAGCCGATCTAGGGCAACTGTCGATGCCCTTGCCCCCAACGAGGTCCCTTCGGTTGAGAGTTTCGACGATTCTTTTTCTAATTGTTCAAAAGCTAGCTGTTTTTTTTTTTGTCACGTAAGCACGATAACTATTTTTACTAGTTTCCTTCTAAATTTCGCAGCTTTCACCACCAAAGCGTGTTGGTTATCCATTATGTTCTTTGGTCTGTGATGATTTGCCTTGGGCCGTTAATTCCTGGGAACTTTGGGCTGGCGCGTGAAGTGGGCCCAGCTGTTCCCGGATAGTCAGACGCATACTGGGTTGCATTGGGCCTCCGAGCGCTTAGTCTTGCCTGTTTCGGAAGCCGGCAGCGACGATATATATATATTGTTTGCAGTCATGTGTTGCTTCATTCATCAAATTTAATCTGAAAACCATGTCTTTGAATTTGAGCGTTCGAGATGCAGGCAGTCTTGCACGTCTCTCGATCCCATGCCTGGCCACCAGTACAACAATTATAGCATATTTAAATACTACAACAATTATATCATATTTAAACTATAAGAGCTAATATCGAGCTAAAAATTAGCTAAATTAAATTAGACTTAGCCCACCCAAATAGAAGGCTAATAGGTAAGTTGATTTTTTTAGCTAAGTCTCCAACTAATTGTGTTAGCTAACTAGCTGACCAACTCCAACTAAGTGTCCGTTTGATACACATATAGCTTGTTACTAGTTATTGGGGTAAAAATTATCCCGAAATAGTTATGATTGGCTAGCTAGTTGAATAATGACTAGTTGAAAACTTGGTTAAAAAATTAGACCATCCATTAGCTTTCCTATTTAGATGCACTAGAGCTATTTTTAGCTAGCTAGCAATTAGCTCATGTATCAAATGGACCCTAATTAAAGCTAATTCTTAACATGTAACTAGTGATTATACACTTAGCTCATCCAAAAATACACGTATATATACACGCCCGTGGATAGTACTAGTTGGCTATGTATTCCCTCGGTCCTAAAAAAATTGTAATCCTGCAATTCAATCTTGTGAAAACAATATATTGTTGGGTTTAAAACCAACTTCTTTTAGTGAAACCCACCTATTAAAAACCACTGCACGCATACGCGAAACCACCGCGCCCTATCTATCGATTCTCATCCACGGTGTAGAGGTGGCCGCCAAGCTCCCTGCGGCCATAAAATACTACTCTAAACCTCGACGAACCTTCTAGATGCAACAATTGCTTTTGAGTTTTCACATACGGGAACAAGATACATGACAAGAGGGTCTCGTCGAAAACTAAAAATCACATTTTTCCTTTATGGAAGGGAGGGAGTATGTGGCCATGCTGCCGCTGTCAAGCAGCCGTCCGTCCATCCCGCCCCCACGTGGCCATGCATGTGATGAAGAGAAATTGAAGGTGGTCAACGATCGAGAAGCTGCATGCGAAGCGGCCAGTCGAGCCCGTCCAGTTCCGCCCCTGGGCAGTGTGCACCACGTATATACACGCGCCCACGTACTAGCAGTATATATACTCCGTATGTAGCATCACTGATTTTTCTACCATATCTTCGTTTCTAAATAAATCAGTTCCACACGTGCTTTGTTAATTAATTAGTGATGGGCTGCCAAACCTATAACCATGTCCATTAACATTTTTTTTCTAAACATGCATATGGGGGATTAAGGTTATGAGGGTTCTTGGTACCTATAATAATAAGGAGATCTAATCATCATCCTATTTTATTATTAGTGGCTTCAAATTACAACAACACGAAATTCCACGAAATATATAGTTATTATTGTGTTATTAAATTATAAACCGGCCGAACCTGCATGGCACCGCTTGGCACACGACGACATTGGTGGTGAAGGTGTACAACACCTCGCTCGTATCCACCGCCTGGCCCGCGGCCGCATCGTCGCGAATGCGTGCGTGCGGAGGTGCAGGGCGGTCGCAAGGCGAGGGCATGGTCGTGGTTGGGGGTAGACCCAGTACACAAGGAGCGGTGCACGTGCCCCCACTCAAATTTTTTGTTTCAAAAAAAAAATCTTTCACTACCAGAGAAAAGAAAATTCCTGATTGCCCGGCCGACAGGAACAACTCGACGGGAAAGACTGGCCGTCAAAAAAAGGCCGACAGGAAAAAGGCCCAAAGTTTTTCCCCAAATTATAGCGTATTTAAATACTACAACAATTATAGCATATTTAAATACTAAAGAGCTAATTGTTATCGAGCTAAAAACTAGCTAAATTAAATTAGCCTTAGCCCACCCAGATAGAGAAGGGCTAATAGATAAGTTTAACTTTTTAGCTAAGTCTTCAACTAACTGTGTTAGCCAACTAGGTGACCAACTCCAACTAAGTGTCTGTTTGATACACATAGTTAGTTATTAGTGGGGTAAAAATTAGCCCAAATTAGCTATCGTTGGCTAGCTTGTTGAATAACAACTACTCCCTCCGTCTCCAAATAAATCAATTTCTAGAATCCATGCAAGTCAAACTATCTTAAGTTTGACTAACTTTATAGGAAAGAGTAGCAACATCTATGACATAAAATAATCATATTATGAAAATATATTATATGGTATATCTAATGATACTAATTTGATATCATAAATCTTGATGTGTTTTTTCTAGAAATTCGGGCAAAGTTTAAAAAGTTTAACTTAAGACAACTCTAGAAATCTATTTATTCGGGAACAGAGGGAGTAGTTAAAGACTTATGTCATGTTCGCTTGGCTGATAAGCCATGACTGAAAGTACTGTTGGCTGATTTGTTATAAGAGAAAAATAATGTTCGTTGACAGAAAAAGTACGGCTTATAAGCCAAGCGAACATGGCGTTAGTTAGAAATTAAATTAGGTCACCTATTTGCTTTTCTGTTTGGATGCACTAGAGCTACTTTTAGCTAGCTAGCAATTAGCTCATGCATCAAACAAACCCTAATTTAAGCTATTTTTTAACATCTAACTAGTGACTATAGACTTAGCTCATTCCAAATAGAGACCTGTATATATATCCACCTGTGACAGTACTAGTTGGCTATGTATTCTCTTTGTCCTAAAAAAATGTAATCCTGCAGTTCAAATCTTGTCAAAAAAAAAATCTTAGTTTAAAACCAGCTCCTTTTAGTGAGACCCACCTATTAAAAAACCACTGCATGCATACGGGAAACCACCGCACCCTATCTATTCATCGATTCTCATCCACGGTGTAGAGGTGGCCGCCAAGCTCCCTTAGGCCATAAAATACTTTGAACTTTGACGACCTTCCAGATGCAACAATTGCTTTAGAGTTTCATGTGTGAAAATAGGATATAAGAGAAGAGGGTACATGCATAATTTTATATCTAAGCTATTCGATATAAAAAACTAGGGATGAAAACGGATCGGATACGAACGGATATCACTCATATTATATTTGTTTTCATATTTCTGTTCGGATTCGGATTCGGACACGGATAGCGTTCGGATACATATACGAATACGGATTGACTCGGTTATGGATACGAATAATGAGTATCGAATACGGTATGAATCGGATTCGGAGAAGGTCGGATACAAATATCTATTCGGATATTGAGTAAAAGCAGCATATATATATATATATATATATATATATATATATATATATATATATATATATATATATATATATATATATATATCATACGTGCGCAAACCATTACACCACTCTATGAGTCCATAATCCATCTAGATTAAGCCGAAAGACTAAAGAGTAAAGCAACAAATAAGATAAAGATACAGATACATCATACATCAAACATCATATAAGCACCAATCTTCGCGGCATGAGTAGAAATAGCCAAGCTCATGGCTTCATGGGTCTCATGGAGTCATGATCATGGATTCAAGATCTACAATCCTTATATAGGCCATTTTTTCATTTGAGAAAGTTTGAACAAAATGTAGTTCAAATTTCACAAGTGTGTGACATAGTTTTAGAAAGTCTGTATGAGATTTAAGAATTTATGACTAGTGTTTGATAAAACT